GGTAGGTACAGACAGGAAAGTCAGCATTCATGGGGGTCACTGCGTGCCCACCCCGGTAGGTACAGACAGGAAAGTCAGCATTCATGGGGGTCACAGCGTGCCCACCCCGGTAGGTACAGACAGGAAAGTCAGCATTCATGGGGGTCACAGCGTGCCCACCCCGGTAGGTACAGACAGGAATGTCAGCATTCATGGGGATCACTGCGTGCCCACAGGTGTTCTGGGTGCTCAGCTCCTAGAATCTTCGCACCCCTCCAAGGTGTATCACAGAAGGAAACACACCCACAGAGTGCTCAGGGGGCTTACCCGGGAGTACGTGGCTCTTCAGTGGCCGAGTTTGGATTTGAAACCCAGGGTTCTAAGCCCTTCCTTGTGCTGTTCTTCAAATATAAAGACCTACTATGTGCAGGAGCGCTGGTGGGGGTGGGCAGGAAAGAGATGGCTACAGGGCTGTGTGACTTGAGTCAGGCAGAGGGATTCCTGGACTGGTAGGGGAGTGCTCAGGAGGGCTTCCTGGAGGAGGTGACCAGTAAGCTGAGGCTTGAAGATGGGTAAGACTTAATGGGGAGCAGCAAGGTGTGCAAGGACAGGTAGAAATGGCTTTAGCTGTCACTCTGGTGGGGCCGGTTTGTGGTGCAGGTCTTGTGGCTGTACACCTAACAGAGTAGGCCTGCTAGGACCCAGCCACTCACTCAGAGACGGGTCAGGGATAAATGAATGGGTGGCAGGGAAGGTGCCCTGCACACAGTAGGTGCTCAGGAAACCTCAATGGTGACCCTCTTCCCTCTGACAGTCAGGATATGGGCTGGGCATGTGCTGCAACCCAAGTTTGCAGATGGTTGACCTCTGGCTGGCCCCTGGCATTGGAATTATTTGCTGACATTTATAAATTGGGAGATTCCACCCAAAAGCTCATGTTTCTAGCTTTTCTTAAACACTTAGAAGATCTGGAGATTGCGGCCTGCACTTCCCCCTCTGCTGTCGTGGGTTGAGTGAGGAGTGGCATTGCCAGAGACAGAGTGGCAAGGGGTACTCACCCACCAGATGCTCTCCCTGTCTCCTTCTGCTCACTCGGCCTCCCGAGCCCCTCCCAGCAGGAGCATGACACCGCTAGGTGAACTCTGGTGCGGTGGGACCACTTGGCATCGACTCCCTCGTTGGTGGTGGGGTTTGTGTAGACAAGGCATCCATCTCAGGACAATGCAGACCCTCAGAAAAACAAGCGGGGGTGGGGTGGGATGGGGGTGGGGGCGGCCTTTCCCCTTTGATCACTGATCTCACGAAATCGAGCCCCAGCGCTTTGGAACGCTCACAGCCTCTGCACACAACCGACACCGCCCGCGAGCGCGTGCCAGGCCAGCAGAGCTTCTCCGTGACTCAAGACAGCCGGCATTTCGCATCTTTGAAGTGTTTTTCTTTCTGGCAAGTGGACCAGTACTTTAAAAACCAAAACATTCCTGGGATTAACAGAAATCCACTAAGCTGGCACGGTTAGGTCCTCAGGGAGGGAAATGCTGTGGGCACAAGAGGAGCCCCTCCTTCCAAAAACCAGAGCCATCGTCCCAGGACGGTAGTCAGGTTTAGACAGCACTCTTCTCGGCAGAGGGGCTATGTCTTTGGGAAAGTAGGAATGCAGCCTGACCTACGAAGGCATCTCGGGAAACTTCGTGTGGTTTAGTGCCAGCAGCCACCAGGCTGGGCTTCAGGACCTCTGGCTCTGATCTGCCACTCCTGTGCTTTGCACGGTGTCCCAAAATCCCGTTTCGATTCTTGCCGTCTTTCAAGACTAGCTCCATTGCTGTCTCCTCCAGGGAGCCTTTTGTGCTTCTCTGTGGAATGAGGCGTCTCGCCCTCCTCTTGGTCACTCATCCCATGGTTTGTCCCCCTCTTGGAGGTTATGACACAGCCATTATTTTTCCATTGCTGTCCCTCCTGCTGTAGGGTGTGCCTTCTGGGCCACCTGCTGGGCACTCACAGCCTCCCTTGTTCCCCAGAACTCTGCCAGGTAGATTCACTGCCACCCCAGCGTTATAAATAGGGACCCCGAGGCTTAAGGAGGTGGAGGGACTTGTCCAGGGCCACATGCCATCAAGTGGCGATGTGAGATTTGGACCAGGGCTCTGTGGCCATAGGCCTGTGCGAGTCCTGCCAGCTGAGCTTTCTACCGGGTGGTGCCCCCGGGCCTTGTGCATAGCAAGCCCCTTCTCAATTCGTTGTTGTTCAGGAGCGTGGGGAGGGGTTTGTGAGTGTTTCTCACAATTAAGGTCACAAAATCTCTGGCCCCATTTAGTGTCATCTTTGATGTTCAAGCGTGGTGTGGAAATTTGTCTGCTTTTATGTGACCCAATTTCTGTGCCTTGAAAACGCTGTTCCTGCCCTCCTCCCTCTCTGTGCTGTTGAGATCAGGGGAGCAGGGCTGGCTCAAAGCATCCCCGTCGGCCCCGCTCCCCTCACTGCCCCGGGCCCTTGCTGCGTCTCTGATGTCCAGGTACATCCAGTATGCTGATGAGGTGCCAAGTCTCAGGTCTTGCTGAGAGGAGTCACGGGCTCATTCACTCACCTGCATGGCTCACCTGTGCCACGGAGCCCACCTGTATGACCTTCTGCTCATGGGAAACCACGTCTTTTGTTCTTTTTCTGCTGTTAGCGTAACCACCGCAGACGGCCTCCCGGGAAGGGACCTCCTGGGCCTCTTCTGTCCTCACTACCTGCAGGACGACACTCTCGAGGGGAGGGGAAGCAGCCCCATCTTTTCAGGCCCTGTTGCTGAGGTTCAAACTTCGCCTCAGCAGCCTTGGGCAGATCTGGAAGCATCTGCAAGCATCCGGAATCTTCAGTGTCTTTAGCATGTGTTTCAAAGAGCAGTGAAAACACACTGCCAGAGTCTGGCTGGCGTTGGAGATGCTTGGTGAGGGGGAGAAATATTCCTGGTCCAGAGCATTTTTCTTGGACTCTTTCTGGGCAACAAGCTTTTTAGAAATGTTTGTTAAATGCTGAAAAAAACAGAGTTTATTCCTCTCTACTTCCACAGCCAACATGGGAAGCCATCTGCACTAACCTGGGTTTTCTCTCTTTTTGCTCCACAGTGAGTGACCTGCAGGAAGAAGGCAAAAATGCCATCAACTCGCCGATGTCCCCGGCCTTGGTGGACGCTCGCCCTGAAGACACCCAGCTAGGTACCGCCTGTCCCCTGACCCCTGCCGTGAGACAGTCAGGCTCCCTGCCACAAAGTTGGTCTTGGTGAGGCTGATAAGGAGCCTGAGAGCTCTGGCCTTCTGACCCACCGCTGGTGGCATCAAAAGCCTGGGTTCTCAGGTACAGGTAGTGTTTAGGGAAGTCCATGGGGTAAAGCAAGTTCTCCCCTGGACACTTCTGCCCCCGTCTCAAATGTAAGTTCTGTTGTTATTCAGGTGTGGTGAAGCTGACAGGTGAGGGGAGACGGACATTGGAAGGGTAGTTTGTTGTGCTGACAGGGCCAGAAGGAGGGGCCCCACCCCTCCACTGGGGCAGGAGGAAGGGGCAAGGCCAAAGACTTCACTGTGGTGTTCTGGAGGAGTGATCGCGAGGCAGGGGAGTGGCTCGGATCGGCTAGTTTGAATAGGGCCCGGCAGCTGTCCTGAGTTGTCTCATACTTGGCCCTGGGGCATGTCCAGCAGGTATTGGAGTGTAGAGCCCTGGGTATATCCCTGGGCTCCGGGGCTCCAGGGCTCCAGGGCTCTGGGCTCTGTATTGGTTTCCTGAGAAAGGCTCCCTCAGGGAAGGGGGGTTGTTTCCTGTCCCTAGCAGTTAGGGAGGGGCAGTCTCTCTGGAATCATCAAGGCCCTATGATGTGTGATGTCAAAGCATCAGACAAAACAGAAAATAAAAAGCGTAATTAATAAATGCACTCCAGGCCGGCGCAATGGCTCACGTCTATAATCCCAGCACTCTGGGAGGCCGAAGTAGGAGGATCCCTTGAAAGCTCAGGAGTTCAAGACCAGCCTGATCAAGAGAGAGACTCCGTCTCTACGAAAAATAGAAAAATTTGTCAGGTGTGGTGGTGGGTACCTGTAGTCCCAGCTCCTCAGGAGGCTGAGGCAGGAGGATCACTTGAGCCCAGGAGTTCAAAGTTGCTGTGAGCTAGGCTGATGCCACAGTACTCTACCCAGGGCAACAGGGTGAGGCTCTGTCTCAAAAAATAAATAAAATAAAAAGATACACACGCGCACACACACACACACCTCCCAGCTCTGTGCCAGCCAGAGCTGCCTGATGCTAGGGCTTGCTGGGGGTCCCTGCGAGTGGTGAAGCCCCCTCCACTTGCTGCCTGGTGGTAATGAGGTGACAGCCCAGTCCTGTTCCCCTTAAAGTGTCCAGATCCGGTCGCCCTGGAAGGCAGTTGTGGAACATTCTGCATATTTCCAAACCTCGATTCAAAGGGAAATCCCAGTTGATCCCTCTTTTGTAGTTTCTGGAAGGCCAGGCCAGCAGGAGCTTGTGAGAGGAAAGGCAAGTGTGGGTTCGGCCAGCTGTGCTCCTGGAGGTCCTGCCGGGGCACCTGCTGGGCTGCTCTGTCTCCTCCCGGAGAGGTGGCTCTGCACGCTGCTGCTGCTGCCGCCCTCTGTCTGGTTGAAGCTGCTGCCCAGGCTGACGCTCCGAGCCCCTCTCTGCAGGGGAGACTGAGGACCAGCGTGTGTCTCCGGGAATGAGTCTGCTTTGTCCAGGTTTCTCCTGCTTGGCGCTGTGGACTCCTGCGGCCATCTGCACTCTAGAGGGTGTCGACCTGTGTCCCTGGCCTCTGCTCGCCAGCCAGGTGCCAGTAGCGTCCCCACCAGTTGGGACAACCACACATGTCTGTAGACATTGCCGTGTGTCCTGGGGGCATGGCTGCTCCTGGCTGAGAGCGCCGCCTTAGACCAGCAAGAGCCCTAAGAAATAGGAAATTTAGTGTGACAAGAATTTGAGATAATCTCAGCAGAGACCTACTGGAGGGGGTGCATGGGCCCAAGTACCTCTGTTTTAAATATGGTTCTGGGGACTCTGGGGCTGTCTGGGAGCCACTCCCCTCTGAGCCGTCCGAGCAGCCTCTAGCAGACCTGGGGCAAGTCAGGCCGTGGCCAGGGAGGGCTCAATGCCAGGGTCCTGGCCAGTGCAGGCAGGACTCACTCATGCTGACGGTCAGCAGGGCTGATGGTGTGAGGTCCAGGGCCCCCAGATGCAGGAATTCCTCCTCCACATCAGGCTCCTGCTCTGGGAGATGCTGCTGCTCCCGGGAGTGGGGAGGTTCCAATCCCAGCCTCCCTTCACCATCCTGAGATCCCGGCTGGGTCTGCAGCCAGACACCCACCACAGATAACACCTGCTGGGGGCATGCACCCTTCTCTTGGGCCCACTGTCTTCCTCCAAGTGGGATCAGAAGACCCCATGGAGAAGGTTAAAGGCCTGGGACACGTCTGAGAGTGTTTGGTGACACTAAGGATGGACATGGCATCTGTGTCCTCTGTCATCCCTCATGGTGCCAAGCAGACCTTGTCTTAGGGTCAGGCACCCTGTTCTTTGCTGGTGGCCCCGCTGCTAAGGCAGGGACTTTACGGAACTCACAGTTCTGGGCGCAGTGAGTGCTGTTTAGTCATAAAGGTGCCACAGGGATCAGATGGGGGCCCGGATTCTTCCTCAGGGAGCCCAAGCGTGCCAGGCTCTCTGCTGCTCAGTCTACCTCCCTCCCATTTTGGGGGTGGGGTTTGCTGCCCTCAGCATCCTGTAGCCCCCAGATGCTAACCCATGACTCCCTTTTGTTCCTGGCAGAGGAGAATGAGGAGCGCACGATGATCGACCCCACCTCCAAAGATGACCCCAAGTTCAAGGAGCTGGTCAAGGTGAGGAGATAGATCTGTCTTGGTTGGAGTGTACCCATTAGGGCGAGGCCCTGGCTTGGGGCTCAGGGCCCTCACGAGCACAGATGCTGCTGTGCGCAGAAGTGGTCGGGCCTGTGGGTGACAAGGACTAGAGGGAGAGCCCAGCTCGCAGCTCTGAGCACCTTCCATGGGCACAGCTTGGCCTGAGGCCTTAAAAATACCCACGGATCCTTGCAGACAGGGCTGGGCAGCCGGGAGTGAGCATTGTGGTGGTCTGCCATAGCATCTTACACTGGGGGTGAACTCCTGGGGCCCGCTGGGGCCTCAGTTCTCTCCTGCGTGGCTCCCGCTTGGCAGAGGGGCTGTGTTGCGGTGTTCTCTGGGTCCAAGCACAGGTTACAGTTCAGATTGATCTGACTTAAACCACAGCAGGGGTTAAAAGGCGCCCCTGAAGAGGAGAGGCTGTGGGCTGCGGTGGCGTCCTCACCCTGGTGGACCCCAGGCCACCTCCCGAGCAGGGGGCCATGGCAAATGCTTCCGCAGCCCACAGCCACTTCAGGTGCCACGCGGGGCTTTGAAAATCCTGCTTGTGACAATGTGCGCCCAAACTATACTTTTTTCTATTAAAAGTGCTTTTTGAAAAGTTTCTCCGCCTTCTCCCCTTGTTGAATCTGGTGCTGCGCTGAACAACTGCATTTTCTGCAGGGCTAATTTAGGATAAATAAAACCGTTTGCCAGTTGTGTCCCTTCCAAAACCCAAATTGCAAATGTCAGTTTTAGGGCCCATTCAAAGATACTGATTTCTTCCCAGCTTAGATTACCTAGTTTATTTTACTAAGACGTTTTTCTCTGAATATCCACTTTGTTATTTTGGACAGAAGAATACTAGTGAGGAAAGTACCCTTGCATTTTAGCCACCAAAATGGTATTCTCGGGCTACCTATAAGCAAGGGACACACGAGGAGCTCTTGGGGTCTCCAGAGCATCAGAGCAATGATATGTGGGTGCCCAGAAAGAGCTTTGTAATGCTGCCCTGACTCATGTGATTATAGAGGACAAGAGGTGCCATGTCTTCTGCCTAATGCCTGAAAGGCCAGAGTGAGAATGATGTTGGTCCCAGCCTGAGCCAGGGCCACTTCCAGTGGTCTGGGCTGAGCGCTGGGCACTGTGTAGGCCCTGGGGTCAAGGAAGCAAGTCACTTCCTTGCCCTGTTCCTCTCTGACACAGGCTGCCCCACCACCCTCCTTTGCTACATTGCCTCTGAGGGCCTCAGTGGGGCAAGGCCTGGTGCTCATCAGCCCTCTGCATGGGGACCCCAGCATCTCTGGCACTGGGGGCCAAACCAGCAGGACCCATGGAAGCTCCAGCTGCTTCACCTCTTCTGGATTCTAGATTTGGACAAAGGGTCAGGTTGGGGGGCCTGGGCAGGCTGACTGGTCAGGGCAAAGGAGGACCCAGGGTAGGAGAAGCCCAGGAATAAATCCCTCTGCCAACTCCCCCAAGGGCAGCTCAGACCGGGGCTTTGAGCAGACAGCTGGGTGGCTGAGCACTGACTGGCTGGGCCCTGCACCTGCCTCACTCCCCTTCCCCCAGCATTGCCAGGGTTGGTCCCCGTCCCAGCTCCTCCCAGCCCCTGACACCCCCTGCCAGAAATAAAAGCATCAGCAGTGAACTTGGCCCTGGCCCTCTTTCTTAGGGAACCTGGGCGTGGCGGGCTGAATCATGGCCCCAAAAGATGACCACGTTAAAATCCCTGGAACCCACTGTGGCTGTGAAGTAGCAGCAGGGACTCTTCAGATGTAGTTAAGTTCAGGATGTTGTGATGGGAGATTATCCTGGAGGATCTGGCTGGGCCCAGTGTGTTCACGGGTGTCCTTATTTATGAGAGGGGGCAGAGGGAGGTTTGACTGCCCGTCAGGGTGGCAGTGTGACCATGGAGGCCAGGTGCCATCTGCAGGCTCTGAAGATGGGGGAAGAGGTGACGCACCAAGGAACGCAGGTGGCTTCTGCCTCTGGAAGCTGCAAAAGATGAGGAGGCCTCCAGCAGGGGCCTCCTGCTGACTCTCTGACCCCAGCCCCATTCTGTTTTCTTCCTCTTTGTCTCAGCCACGTAAGAACAACCCTCTGGGCCGACCTGGTGCTTTTGCAGCTGCCCAGGGTGCCCCGCAGTGCCCTCTGGCTCCCAGCAGCCTGAATCTCCTCCTGCCTTTTGTGACAAGCCCTAGTCCAACCATGACTCCTTTTGGAAGTGATTAAAACGTAACTGTCATAGCTCTGGGGGAGACAGAGCGCAGATCTTGATTATAATTCCGAAGGAACTAAAGAGAAAGTAATTTCTTATTCTGGTCAGAGCAAGCTCATGAGACGTATGTGATAGAGTGGGGCGCCAGCACCGTGATTAATGATGTCCTAGACATTTGCCCACAGGATTTGGGGTTTACGAATGAGTATGTCCCTAAAAATAATGCCGGTGCTATCTTTAAAAACGAAGCAGAGGGTGGAGATGGATGGCCTGGGAGGTACAGTGGCAGGTGACTGGTGGCGTCCAGGAGTAAGCTGCGCCCCTCGGGGCAGTGAAACTGGGCAGCAAATGGCGCCTGCTTCCCAGGCTGACCCCTGTGGCCTGTTGTGTAGGAATTCAGTTTCAATCCCTTTCTGTTTGTTATTTCTGTGTTTGGGCTGGGACCAGGTTAGAGACCCAGCTGTGACTTAATTTTGTAGTTTCTTCATAGCAGAAGCTTTGTCTGCTGCGTGTTTTCTAATGGGAATGAGCTCTCGATGGGACAGCCCGGCAACCAAACTTCCCATGCCTGGGAGACCTTTCTAGACAGTTTCTAGCTTGGTGGTGCTGCAGTTTGGCCGAACATCTTCGGAGGGTCCATTCCTATTTTAGCTTCAGGGAATATGGCCTTGAGCACAAGACAACCCTCCCTCCATCCCCCAGGCCACACACATGGAGCAACAGTCCAGCTGGGAAGCTGGACATGGTAGGGTCAAGTGAGCAGGTGGCTCCAGTGCTTTGGAGACCCCACCCCTCCACTGCCCAGTTAAAGTGGGGTGGTCAGGGAGGTGGCATTTGAGCAGAGGAGCACCCCGTGGTGTGTACCTGCCTGGCGTGTCTAAGGATAGCAGGAAGGCAGTGTGGCTGGAGCTTAGTGAACCAAGAGGAGAGTGGCCAGGGACTTTGGACAAGTGGCAGGTGTGTGCCGGTCAGTGTCCTTAAGGGTAGGCCCTCGAAGGCACCCTGTTTGACTGCCAGGGCTGTGGGACTAGCTCTTTCCAGCAGCCACCTGTGTTCTCCTATAGGCAGACTTCACATGTGCCCTTCCCACCGTGACATCTGCGACCCTTCAGCTCCCTGCCTAGGACAGAGACCAGGTCAGGTGTCTACAGGGTGGTACCTGGCACCTAGCAGGTGCCACCGGTTGTGCTGAGTAGAAGCAGCAGGAAAGGGGGTTGATGTGATGAGAATCCCGGGGACCGTCCTGCCGCTGTCTGGGCAGAGCTTAGCTGCTGATGAGGGGAACTGCCCAGGTAGCATGTAGACTGTCCCTCTGTCTGAGGTTTTCCTTGTGATTAGATCAGGGTTGTCATTTGGAAGATCACAGAGGTAAAAGCCCCACTTTGAATGTGTATCAGGGGCATCTGTCAGCACCGCACACCACTGTTGGTGTCACCCTTGGTCACATGCTGAGGTGTGTTTTTCAGGCTTTTTCTGCTGTATCCTCCCTTATTCTCCTTCCTGACCCCGATGCCAGCCTGTAAGATACTCAAGGTGGAGGCCTTGGCTGTCCTGTCTCCAGAGCCTGGCACACCGCAGGTGGTCAGCAAATTAATTAATTGATTCAATACCTATTTACAGAGCACCTGTGCTAGATAGTGAGTGCTGGGTGTTAGGGCCGGAGCCACAAACCAGACCGGCCATAGATCTTGCTCTCCTAGACCTTAAAGTCTAATGAGCGGGGGGTGGGGTGGGGGTGTGTGGGGGTGTGGAGGGGAGGTGCGCGTGTGTTCCCATTGCAAATGTGAACAGGGCAAGAGAGGAGGCACTTGGCTGTAGCGAGAGCCATGACGGGGCACGAGGCCTGCGTGGGCTGGGTGGCCAGAAGAAACTAAGCCCTAAAGCAGGAATGAGACTGTGCCATCACTGAGGAAGGGGGTGTCCGGGCTGAGAGACAGCGTGTGCTAAGGCCCGAGGCAGAGAGCAACTTGGGCTATTTGAAAGACCCCAGCTAGGAGTCCAGGTGCTCAGGTATGGCTGTGGCAGTGGCCCAGGGCAGAGGAGAAGATGGTGAGGGGTGAACCCAGTCAAGAAGTGGATAGCAGTGGGGTGAGAGGGTGAAAGTGGGGGATGGTGGTCCTGCTTCCTCCCCAGAAAAGGAACAGTTAGAGACACTGAACACCGAGCAGGATTGTCCAGGAGTTTCTGGGTTAGGGATGGCCTTGGAAGTTGTGGGAGGGCTTGAGCTGGCCTCAGAAGGGATTGGAGGGCCGGGAGCACTGTTGTCCTGGGCAAGGGCCCAGGACGTGCTGTGGGAGGTGATGGGAGTCGTCACAGAGAATCCCCCAGAGGAGAGCCCGGGGGTCAGAGAGGAGCACTTGGCAGGAGAGGGAGCAGCTCCTTGGGGAACTTAGGGGGGTCAGGTGCAGGGCAGGACTCCCAGGCCAGAGCTGTCTCCCCACACCACCCAGCTCTCAGGGATCCAGTGCTGTCCCCCTGATCAGGGCACAATGGGCTGCACAGTCTTACCCCAAACATTCCTTTTATTTATTTTTACCTCGGTTCTTCACAGGATTGTGTGTCGTATTCAGTATTTTTGCGTTAGCAGGAAAATAGAATACACTTCATAGAAATTTGCTTTGTAGCCGAGGTCTCAGGTTGCAACTGTTTCAAAGAATGACAGAGAATGATATATTCTGTATTTGTGCCCTTTGGTTCATCTCTGAGAGGGGCCATGAACTACCATTCCCAAGAGGGTACTGGGACCAGTGAGATGGTCTTACCCGCTTTGCTTATGTGGGAAGATCTTGGTCTCTGTGCTACATTGGGTCTGTTCAGGCATCTACTCCGTTTTGTGGAGTGGACATGTCAGAAGCACATCCCAGTGGAATTGCTCTGTGGGAAGCCTGTCTTTCTGTAGGTGTTTTCACAGTAGAGGCAGCTTTTTTGAGAATCACTTGAGCCCTGGATTCTGAGGTTGCTGTGAGCTAGGACTCCATGGCACTCTACCAGGGGGCAACAAAGTGAGACTCTGTCGCAAAAAAAAAGGAAAAAAGAAAAGAAAAGAAAAAAATATTGTAAAATTAATTATGGTGGTGTCTGCAACTTCGTGAATGTACGCAAAGCCCCTGCATTGCGCACGGTGGTTGGAGTGTGAATTCCATCTCAGGAGGGGTGTTTGTGAGACGCTACAGAGAGTTGGTGCTCTGAGCTTCACAGGGACACCTGTGTGGGATCCCCTTCCCTGCCACTTAGGCTGGGGATGATCGGGGACAGGGGACATCCTATGGCCCCGTTACCATCTTAGGGGCTCTGGGGGCCAGTCTCACCAACATTTACACACTGGACCCTGTCCCTGTAGCATGGCACATAGGTGAACTCCCTCCACGGTGGGGGGAGGGGGGGTTTCCTCCTTGCCCAAGTTCTTAGCTGGGAAGAGACTCAGTTTTACCAGAGGTGCCCCCTGCCCAGGGTTCCCTTGGGGATTCCTAGGCTGTCTAGGAATGAGGTAGGGGGAGAGGCTGAGTGTGCCTGTGCCCTCCCCCCTGCACCCTGTCCATAGACTGTGAAGCTCATCCCCTCATCCCACCCCTGCCCCTGGCTCTCTGGGCTACTGTGGTCTTGTGCAGTGTCCCTCCCTGTGTGCGCGCTCTGGTCATTGTTCCCATCCGTGTGGGCAAGCAGAGTGAGGCTGTAACCCCCTTCCTGCAGGTGCTCCTGGACTGGGTCAACGATGTGCTGGTGGAGGAGAGGATCATTGTGAAGCAGCTGGAGGAGGACCTGTACGACGGCCAGGTGCTGCAGAAGCTCCTTGGTGAGTCCCCACGCTGGCTCCGTCCACCCCCACCCCTGCAGAGGGCCCTGGGCTGGACGGCCACACACCTCCCAAGTGGTGTCTCCTGGGCCCTGGCTGTGGCTTCATCATGTATCCTGCGGGTGATGCCTACCTGGGGCTGCAGTAGGCCACATGTAGTTGTCAGAGCCACTGGCGGGTCCTGTTCCATTGTGTGCTCATGACCCAGGGGAGCACGGACATGGGGTGGGCTCAGGGAGCTGTCTCCCACTGGCCCTGCCCCTCATCCCACCTTGAGAGAGGGGAGGCGGCAGGAGGGGAGCGGGTCTCCAGCAGATACTTCGAGAGTGAACATGTCACATTATCCCTCACTGGGGGCAGGCATTTCATTGTCTGCGTTACTGGGTAAGGTCAGGTTAGTGATCTTCCCAGGACTGGTTGATGCAGAGCTTGATGGGTAGATGAGCTGGGTGTACTGATCACACGTTCAGAGAGTCCTAGAGCTGGGCACCAAGGGCACAGTGACCTGGGAAACACATGATCACCGTCTTCATGAACTTCAGTCCATCTGGGAAGATGAAGAGTTACCGTTCCATTCAGTTGTGTGTCCTGAGAAAGGTCTCATTGATCTCTTGTCCTCTTACACGATGCGGGCAATCATTTTCAATGGTTTCTTTTTTTTTTTGAGACAAAGTCTCACTATGTCACCCTGGGTAGAGTGCCATGGCATCACAGCTCATAGCAACCTCAAACTCTTTGGGCTTAAGCGATTCTCTTGCCTCAGCCTCCCAAGTAGCTGGGACTACAGGTGCCCACTGCAACACTGCTTTTGTTGTTGTTGTTGTTGTCATTGTTGTTTAGCAGGCTCAGGCTGGGTTTGAACCCACCGGCCCTGGTGCATGTGGCCCGTGCCCTAATCACTGAGTTACAGGCGCTGAACCTTTCAATGGATTCTGAATTGTCTTTCTTGTGTTTCTCTATAAAAATATGCAGGCACACACACTCACTCCTCTTTCTTACGTGAAAGGTGCATGCTCTCGGTCCTCTTCAGTACACCTTGCTCTCTTCACTTGGTGATGTGATCTGGGAATCATTCCGTATGGAGATCAGCTTTGTTTTCCTTACAGCTGCTCGGGTTTCTGCTTATTCCTCAGCTTATTCACGCGGTCCCCTCCGGCAGGTGTTTATGTCATTTGCAGTGTTTTTCTACTACAGTAATGTTGCAGTGAATAACCTTGTACAGATGGGAAAGAAACTAGCCTTATGGATCTCAAGTCTAACGAGTCTTCCTTGAGCTCTGTCCACCTGTAGAGGAAGGAATCTCAGCTTCATTCACCTTTGACCTCTGGCCTCTGGCCTGTCCAGTGTGTTGCTCCTCCATCTTTTGTAGCCATTTCCTCATTTCCTCTTTACCTAGACTGGTCACATCATTGTGCAAACATGCTGGGATTAATAAACAGAGCCCCTCTCCTGCCACACTCCTGTTGCTTGGTATGGCTGAAATGTGTTGACCATTAGACCCCCTGGGGTCACTGGTGGCCCAGAGAGAGCAGTTTTGGTGCAGCGGTGGGGGGGCGACATCCTAATCCGAGGGGTCCAGAGAGTGAGCTGCGCCTTTCAGCCACATGCTTTGTACGTAGAGAAGGAGGCAGAGGAGAGCGGACCTGTGCTTCTCACTTAGCACTGTGCCTAGTGCCCTCTGTGGTCAGGTAGTGGGAGTTAAAAAAAAACAAAAAACAGAAAGAAAAATAAATGCAAAGTAGGATCAGGGCTGTTGAGTGTCCAGCTCTGTCTGGCTCCTTCCCAGGTCCCCCCGCTGCCCCTCTGGGTGACTGGCACCTGATAAATATTTGTTGATTAAGTCAATGGAAAAAGCCCTGTGGTTTCATTACCCATGAAGAGCGTGGGCTTCTTGTGCAGGAGATGAAAGGGGCGTGGGTGGGTGAGTGTTTGGAGTGTCTTGGGGTTCAGTGCTCCAGGAAGGGTTAGCTGTTTACTGAACAGTCTTCTTTTCTCATAAAGCTCTGATGCATTTTCACAGTCCCCAAATGCCCTGCAATGGTGACCTCAAGGACTCAGTGCCCCCTTGTACAGGGGATGACGTACCTCTTAAAGGGAGATGCCATCCGTCCCACCCCGGCATCGGGTGGGGTCAGCAGATGTGCTGTCTGGGGTTTCCTTTTCCGCTCAATCTCCCACCCTTTGACAAGCCTCATCCTGGTGGAGGTGTCTCCCCAACACACCAGCCTGGAGGGTCTCTCCTTTGGGGCAGGACCAGTGAGTGGGGTGGGGTCACGTTTCTCCCATAGTTGTGACCCAGGGGGTGAGCGAACTGGGCAGAAGCCACGAGGGAGGCTGCGGTGAGGATGAGAGTGTGGGGTGCTGTCGGGAGGGAGACACTGAGAGGAGGCCCCTGGGGGCTGGGGAGGGAGAGGAGCTGTGAAAACACAGGAGCACAGGGTCTGCAGCCGCGTGGATCGTGCCGTGTCCTCTCTCTCTCTGTACAGGGTCTGCAGGCCCAGTAGACACAGCTCTTACAGATCATGGCTGGGAAGCCTGCTGGGGTTGGGGGCACAGCCTGTAACTTGCTCTGAGAACCACGTATTGTGTTGTCCTTATTCAGTGGCTCTCAGAAATGCATTCGGAGGGAAACATGTTTGTGTTGGTTTTGATCATCTGTTCCTTAATTCATTGGCTTGATGAATGAATATTTGTTGGCTTAGTATGTGGCATTTGGGCTCTGGGCTCTGGGGACGGGATGGGGAATGAGAGGGTGGAAGGCCCCCTGCCTGCTGCCCCCAGCACACATTCCAGCAGAGAAAGGAAAGACAGTAGAGAAATGATGGGGTGGGGTGGTTCAGCCTGAAAGATAAATACTGAGCAGATGCTTTAAGAGAGTGAGAGGTGCTGAGAAGAAAATGATAGAGAGTTACGGGTGGAGGGCGGTGAGTGGAGGGCAGAGCAGTCGGGGAGCCCCTCGGGACCATCTGAGCACACGTGTGCACAGAGAGCGTGGGCAGGACATTCCGGCCGAGGCTCTGACATGAGGAGGAGACTGTGTTGGAGGAGCAAAGAGAGGAGGCTGGGTAGGGGTGGGGGAGGCAGCCACGGGATGAGGCTGGGTGGGGGTGGGGGAGGCAGCCACGGGATGAGGCTGGGTGGGGGTAGGGGAGGCAGTCACAGGATTAGGCTGGGGTAACGGGGCGAGAGGGTGGCCAGCCTGCTAGACAAAGGCTTTTATTTCAAGTGACAGGAAGCCACTGGAGGTTTTGAGCAGGGCTGTGACACAATCTGAGTTAGAGTTTTCAGAGGTCACTGGGGCTCCTGGGTACAGAATGGATGAAGAGGAGGGCCGGGGGTTGGAGCCGAGCTGAGGTTGATCAGGATGCTATTGCCGTGGCCCAGTGCAGAGTGGGAGGGCAGACCCAGTCAAAACTGCCGGAGGGACCCAGGCTGCTGGCCAGGGCTGTGGCCTGAGCAACTGGTGAATGCAAAAGCCCTTGGGAGTAGGGTGTAGGTGGTGACAGAGGAGCTCGGTGTCACGTGTAAGGTGGAGATGCCTGTCCTTGTGGAGTTGCTGCTGGCCTGGAGCACAGGCTGCAGCATGAATGTGGAGCCCAGCTACTGAGATGATGTTTGGCACCGTGGGACTAGATGCCTTTACCTGCTCCAAATTTGTTATTAGGTGGAATGCCAAATGGCCGAGAATTAAAATTCATACTTGGCTAAGGTGAAAATCCCTGTCTTAGAATGAGCTCCCATGACACAAGAATAAATTTGAACTGTTAAGATTGTTTCATAATTGTCACAGTTTTATTATTAAAGAGCTAGTGGTCCGGGTTTTGGGGTTTTACATTGCAGGTCAGTACAGTCATTCCCAGGACTGTTAGGTGTCGGGTGCTCTCGACGTGGTCAGCCAGACACATGATGAGGGACTCTCACTTTCAGCCAAGAAGGCTGGGGAGCACAGCGCTCCTTGGCTGGAGCTCTCTGGAAGGATGCTGTTGGTGGTGAAGCTTCACCTGGCCTGTTGGTTTTTCTCCCTTGTCAAGAGCGATCAGTTAGAAACTTACCTTCTCTTGGATGCTTGTCCCTGAAGATTGAGCTTTGGTGATGATGCCCCTGTACTGAAGCCGTCCCTCAAACTGGTGCTCTAGTTGGAGCAAGTATTTTCTAATACTTTCAGAAACAAACTTGAGTGTTCTGTGTTCACTTACATTTACTTCTGATTCTTTTCTGTGTACCTATGGTTTCTTCCACCCACTCACTTGAAACTGCGTCCTTGAGCCTTCTGTTTAGCAGTGTGGCTCTGGAACTGGTCCTTGGGATCACAGGACAGGCTCTAAATTTGCATCTGCATCTCAGCCATGGTTGTCCTTAAACAAGGGCTTTCCATGGAGTAGAATGACGGGGGCACCATGAGAGCAGGAATCCTCCCCCTCTCGAGGCACATCATTTTGGTCCCCTCTTCAGTTAGCCCAGCAAATGCAGCCCTTACCCTGAAGTCGCTGTGATTGTTAGTGGGTCCTGCTACATCAGTTTTGTTATCTGTAAAGTGCAACATGAGGCTTACTTTGGCTCAGGCAGCCTTTTTATCGTGGAGTAGCTGCTGTTCTGTCTCATTTGAATATCTCACATAAGTACTTGAGAAAACAGTTCTGAAATCTCTTGTATGTCAAATGGTTTGACATAACACTTTGAAAAAAAGAAAAATGGAAGAGAATATGCAGATATTAGCAGAACATCAAAATGTCTTGCCCGGTTGTGGGGATGATGTTGTTAAACCGACACCGTGTTGTGCTGATCTATGTGATCCCGTGGCCCTGGAGCCCAAGATGCCGGGATGACACTGATGTAGGCATTCAGCTCTTTGGCCTTCCAGAGGCATCTGTGCCTCTCAAGCAGAGAAGAGGTCCGAGCACTGGGCCCTGGGCTGTCAGCGGTCAGCAGTCGGGAAGATGGAGTCTGAGGGGGTCAGCCACAGGAAGGGCATGTCAGAGGAGTGCTGCCTTTGGGAGAGGTGGGGGAGGGTGTTTCTAGGAGGAGTGAGCGGGATGTGGACCGAGAATAGTCCTCTGGATTTGGCCATGTGGAGGTTGCCCAGGGTGGGTCACCCGTCATCCCTCTCCTTGGGAGGAAGCAGCCGCCAGGTTTCGGTGTTTGCAGCATCATGGGGGTGGCTGCTGCCTGCTGCTAATTCATGGGCAGCCCCTCTCCTTGCAGAGGTCAGACTCTTCCTTATCCATATTCACAGCCCTGTATTGGGCCATCATCCATGATCACCTGCCACCCTTGCAGCCTGCCCTGCCTTTGTTTCTTTCTGATGAAGGAGATAGAGGTCTTGACCATGACAAAAGCAGGCCCTGTGGTCCCCATCAGTGAGCAAAGTGACGTCTGGGGATGTGGGCAGCCAACTGCCTTATCCTCAGCCACATGGGAGAGTCACCCCTGACCAGCATCAGGCCACAAGCCACTACGATCCGTCTCTGCTATGGGCTGAATTACAACCCCCCAGATTCCTGTGTTGAATTCCTAACCTCTGTGCCTGGGAATGTGACTGTGATGTTGAACCCCCAATTTAGGCATGTGCAGCTAAAGCTAAACATTGCAACCTCGGTGGTTAGAGACAGAGAAAGGTTTATTCAGTCCGTCCTAAGTGAGCAGACGGAAGAGCAAAGTCTCTCAGATCCACCTTCACAAAGGGACGACATGGGGAGCGTCTGTGGGGCGGAGGGCATCAGGGAGGGGGGTCTCACTCGGAGCCAAAGAGGAAAGTCTGTGTTGTTTTTAGCCCCAGAAAACACCTTGCATGACCAGACTTCTGGGGTCAGCCGCTCCACGCAGCTTCTTTAAGGGGTATTTATTCCTTCTGCAGGAGAAACTCATAGGTTCTCCTTGAGACCCTGGACTTGTCTGCTCTTGCTCGACAAAGGGACAGGCACCAGCAGTTAGTGATTGCCATGAGAACAGCGGTGCTGGGTGGGAAGCCAGCGGTTAACACCCACAAGCAACAGGGGCCTCATTTTACGGTATTTCAGTCATTAAAAGGAATGACTCAGATCTCAAGGGGCCTGGGAACAACTATATTTGGGGACAAGACCTCAAAGAGGTAATTGAGTCAAAACGAGGTGATATGGGTGGGCCCTCGTCCAGCAGGATTGGGGTCATCATAAGAAGAAGTCAGGGTTAAGACACACACACACACACACACACACACAATGGCCATGTGAGCACACCAGGAGATGACAACGTCCATAGCCCAGGAGAGGCGTCTTGGACTTCTAGACTCTGGGATTGCGACAACATACATTTCTGTCCTCGCTCAGCCTGGTGCCTCATCACAGCAGCCCTGGTGAACTGAAATAATTTCTTTCCGTTCCCTGTGGACTTCTCCTCCACCCCGGGTGACATGGCTGTGCTCAGTCCGCAGGGCTGGCCGTGGCGGGGGCTGCAGGGGAGTGCTGGGCTCCCCGGGAGTGCTGGGCTCCCCATCTGTCCTCAGGGCCAGGCATTCAACCACCTGGCTCTCTGTGGCTGTGTCTCGCTCCTTCCTTCTCCAGGGGCCCCTGTGTGCCCTGTGTTTGTCTGTTGAACGCCACTGGGACTTGCTTGCTGTGTGTGTTCAGGGCATCCGCACAGGCTGACAGCTGTGGGTTACTCACCTAGGAGCTGTTAGATGCAGATGGAGGGACATCAACATGCATGAACAGGAGCCGTTTCCGTTCCCTGGCAGGATGTGTCGGGCTACTTTGTTCCTCCTCTCGCACTCACTGCCACCCAGGCTGACATTATTTATGTCTGTCTCTGCACTAAAGGACCTCTCTCATCCATGCCATATCCAGCACCCAGGGCAGGGTCTGTCCTGTAGTAGGTGCTCAGTAACTATTTTGTGAGTAACTTGAGTGAATGAGTGAATGAATGAAGGGATTTCCCCAGCCCACCAGGCGTTCCTGTATAATTACATTGTCCCGAAGGTGCTACCCAGGCTGTCCATTCTTCTCACGGGGTTGGGGTCATAGCAGAGATGACGTGGAAGCTAAAACACTTTCAGCAGAACCTTGTGTGCTGAGATCCCTTGCAAAATGGAAATCCGGTTTGTGACCAGCCTGGACCTGGTCGCTCTACTGATCTCCCCTATGAGCCCCTGCCACCGACAGCAGCACTGTCCTACAGACTCTGTACCCAGTGCTTCGTAATCACCCTACAGGCGTCCCCTTGGGGTGTTCCGCAACATGGCTTTTGTTGTTTTGCAGAGCCAGGGACACAGGGGAGTCTTAGAATAAGAGGGTAGGACAGCCATAAAAACAAACAAAAATAACAAAAGAGGAACTAACACCTTTTCTAACAACTTGGATAGACCTGGAGCCAGTGCTGCAGAGTTTCACAAGAATGGAAAAACCAGCACCTGCACATGCTCCTCGCTGTTAGGGGAGCGAATTGGTCAGTTCCTACCTGCACATTCGGTGGTAAAGCCGGAGGGAAGGTGGCGGGGGGTGGGGGGGGTGGGAATCGCATCTGATGTCCACAGTGCACACTGTCCAGGTGAGGGGCACAGCTGGTTGACTCAAACTGCACAAAAGCAGTTCCTGTAACCAAAACATTTGCACCCCAGTAATATTCAGAAATTAAAAAAAAATAAATGCAAAGGTGACATCACAAGCCATGAGACCTGCCCCCAAATATCCTTCAGGTGTAGGGAAAGGAGGTTTCCATACGGCACATGTGAAAACAGTAGTGTGAGAATTTGAAATTATTTTACGATCTGCATCCCACCAAGCCCAAAAGTTGCATGAATATTTTGCCATATTGGCCTCAGATCCTTCTTTTTAGTAAATAAAACATGACACACAACAGAAGCTCCCCTGTCCCTGCCCCCATCTCCCCCCCCCCGTCCCTGCCCCCGTCTCTGCCCCTGTCTCCGGCCCTGTACCACATGCCCCGTCTCTTCCCAGGAGCAGCCTGCGTCCTTAAGTTGGTGTGTACAGTTTCTGCACCTGTTTTTATATTCTCAAAAGTCATTATGTATTTGAAAACTGTGTAGTTAATGTTTGAAGTTTTTTGCATGATGCGTAAGGTCCTTTTAACTATAATTTTATGGTAGAGTGTGACTTTTTTACTTTAAAGTGAAGAGATGTTTCTGGTTCAAAAAAAAAAAAATGAATAAAAGAGTAGGAGGGAAAGCCGGGGGTCCTTCCTGTCTTACTGTCCGTTTGTAGGTATGGGGGTAAGGCCTGGTGGCTGCGGGGTGCCTGCTAGCCTCTTAACAAGGCAGCTCTCTCCAACAAAGGGGGTGGAAGGACCGCAGCCCTGCTGGGTCTCCGTCTTAGTAATTGAATCCTGAGTACATGTGACAGTTCCCACCTGGGCTCCCGGAGATTGCTCCCTGCTCGCTCTGGGTAATAGGGTAGTTGCAGGTTCTGTGAGTGTCTAATCAGACTTCTTATGGTGGTGTCAGAATGTTGGAGAAACAAGACGGGAGCCTCAGGTGTGTAGGGAGGCCGATGCAACTTTTAAGACCATTTTTTATTATCTTTGTCAAAGTCCTCCCCCTTCCGGGACCGTCAGGGATGCCCCCTCCCAACCCACACTCCTGCTCCTCCCAGTGGCCTCCCTGCCTCCCAGCAGCATCTTCAATTATTTTTTCCCATTTTCTGTGCGTAGAATGTCCCCAGTGCAAAATCCTGTTTTATCCTTCACTCTTGTCTCTTTTTCATTCTGGGGTAATTCTCTAAGAATTATGAACATCCTGGAAGTTCAGAGTTCCTTGGCTCAACCTGGAGAAAGGGCCCCATTATCATGTAGAACCCTGCCCCACCTTGGGGACCTCATCCCTGCCAGGTCACAGGGGCTCCACCCCCCCCACCCCCCATGGGTTCTGACCCTCTGCTCTTGTCCCTCTCACACAGAAAAACTGGCAGGCTGCAAGCTGAACGTGGCTGAGGTGACACAATCTGAAATAGGCCAGAAGCAGAAGCTGCAGACGGTTCTGGAAGCCGTGCATGACCTGCTGCGGCCCCACGGCTGGGTGCTGCGCTGGAATGTGGACTGTGAGTTCCCCGGCATAGGGAGAGGGAGGGTGTGGAGGGACCCCATCCTCTGGACATTCATCATCGACATTTGTCATCAGCATTCGTCATTGACATCCGTCCTCAAATCTGGCCTTGCATTCTAGAAGCTGATTCACCCCCCTGCTCCGTGAGAGGCAGCCTTGCAGAGCAGAAGGGCAGGGTGGGAGAAAGGTTAGGGAACCCGGAGAAAAGGGACTAAGTCACACTGTGACTCTGCTCTTTTCATGCTTTGGCGTAGAGAGGAGTGTTCCTAGCTGGGTGGGTTGGGGGTCTTGAGAAGCAGAAGCAGCCCTGTGGGGTTCTTACTGGTACTCAACCCTAAAGACCAATGGCAGCAACGCCAGACGAGCTATTTTCTGGTGACCCTCTGGAATGAGTCACAGAGCTGGCTGGCATTAGCAGAGTGTGTGATGTCGCAGTATCTCTAGCCAAGACACGAATCCAGAAGGTGAAAAACTAAACTAGGAGGAGCTCTGAAGACCTCTGTCCCGGCTGCCCTTTCTCCACCGCCCCTTGAAGTGAAGGGGGCAGTCAGAGTGTGGCTTCCCGGCTCTCCTTACTGGATCAGGGGCCTCTGTGGCTTGGGTAGCCAAGCCCTTGGCCGTGGGGCTTTGGGGATGAGACCTTGCACCTAGGTTCTTGACACTGAAGCCTTGGACAGATCTGACTTGCCTTGTGGGCTGCTGGGGCTGTGGATGCAAAGTCCCTGCCGTGTAAACTGCACAGCCCCACCACGCGCAAGTGACCAAACCTGGGTCCACACGCTGAGGGAGAGAGGGCCTGACTCGGGCAGGGCAGGAGTTAACATCTGACATCCCCAAAGCATCGTTCGCCCTTGACAGCCTCGCCTTGTCGTGGCTGATTGCACAGAGGGGGGACTTTCTTAGTGCCAAAGATAGTAACATACATCCTTGTGATGGGTAAGTGGCCGTGACCTGTTTTTCATGATCTTTTCCCTTCTCGATGCTAATTTTGCTGCCCTGTGTATTCCTTCTTCTCCCATCCAAATTACTGCTCTTAAAAACATTATGCTTTTAAAAGTACTCACACAAGTCACCCTAGGCCACCAGGAAAGAAAAAATAGAAACCAGAAATGAATTCACCCCAGACGCTCATCGGCTCTTAATTTCTCTATAGTTGCTCCGTCCTTGCCTCCCTGAGGTCTCCCTTAGACACTGCGTCTTTGCTGCCTTTTGGCCGTGTGAAATGTGCTCGGGTGCCTATGTGACCTCACTTCTTCCTTCCCCGCCCTCAGCAATCCACGGGAAGAACCTGGTGGCCATCCTGCACCTGCTGGTCTCTCTGGCCATGCACTTCCGGGCCCCGATCCGCCTTCCCGAGCATGTGTCCGTGCAGGTGGTGGTCGTGCGGGTGAGTAGGGCCGGGCCGTCCCCGTGCCTGGGACTCTGCTTTCCTCCTGCAGTCTTCCTGCTCTTTCTGCTCTTTCTCTCCCATCCCCACCCCCCGAAAGCTCCCTTTATTTTTTCTCCCTTGACAAAATTTATGCCTCACCCTGGTTTTGAGATGAGTGATTGGAGCAGGAACAATGGCGTTGATTTGATGAGAGGCAGATCCAGAGGCTTGATGGTGTTGAGGTTTAATTTTCAACATTTTTGAAAAGAACATTCGTTTCTCTCTAAAGCCAACTGGTTGGAGTCCAGTCCTGTTGAATGTGCTTATTACTGATTGGAGGAGGTGACACCCGTGCTGTGAGGCAGATACCCGCACCGCAGCTTCTCTGCCACACATCCGTCATTCCCCGTCATCTCTTTTTTTAGGTTCATTTTTCTTGATTCCCTTGCAGAAATGGGACCAGGACCCAGAGTCCTCCCAGTAGAAGTGGACATGGGGTTGCCATTTCCCGTCCTTTGTGGGCAGGCTCTGCTGGGTTTTGTGTGTGCCGTTTTGTTCAGTAAATCTGTACTGGGCGCCAGGCTTGCTGCACAGGCTCCTGGGGCGCTAGATGAGGAGGACGTGCTCAGGGCCTGCAGGAGCAGCTGCTTCTGCCCGAGAGTCGAGGTTCCACTCGAAACCTAAAGTCTTAAGTGTTTGTGTTGCTGGAGACACCCGGTTCCACTCCCTTCTCTGCTTTTTAAACTGATCAGTCCTGTGGTCTCTGTGGTCTGTGAGGACCTAGCTGAGCCTGTGTTTTTTGAAGCTGTTCTGATCGCTCCACTACCCTGGGAGCTCGGTCTTGGCAGGAATGCCCCCATCTGGCAATAGGCGAGGGCCACCTGCCATTTCTCCTAGTTTCTTTATTAAGGAGGACATTTGTGGTTGGTCATGGGGACTCAGGACCTGGGGGTCATTCCTGTGGCTCCCTGTCTTGGGTGCCTGCTTGCAGGCAGCTGGCCTGGAAAGACTTCCCAAGGACACACGGGAATGTGGTTCCCAAACCTTCCTACGTCAGCCTTGGGGCCCCGTGAGTGCCGTGTGGGCTCCGTGTCCAGGGTATTTCCTTTCAGGCTCACACTTGAGTCCAAGACAATCTTTTGGGTTTGCAGAGAGTTTGACCGGCCCCCAGGCAAGCGCTTGCAGCTGCATCTGCCTTAACTAGGGCTAGAGAAGGAATCTCTGGGCCGTGTCCAGCGTGGAATATAATGGGGAGAGATGGCCCTGGGAGCTGGCAGGCACCATTCTTCAGACCTGAGGGCTGTTCTCTGTCTTTCCCTGCTGTCCCCTGGCCTGTCCCTTCATCTCTGGGCTTATTGGGGTGACTGGTTATCTAATCCAATGGGGTGATGCAAGGGCTGTGGCATTTTGTGGGTGGAAAGAATGAAGGGAAGGGCCTCATTTATTCCCAAGCAGTTGTGGCCTTGGGCAGGCCACTTGATTTCACCAAGCTGCAGTGATTTCCCCTGTAAAGTTGAGATTATATTAATAGGAGGATAACAGGAGGATTGCTTGAGGTCAGGAGTTCAAGACCAACCTGAGCAACAGGGAGACATCTCTCTTCAAAAAAATTTAAAAACTAGCCAGGTGCACTGTTATGTACCTATAGTCTCAGCTATTCAGGAGGCTGAGGCAGGAGGAATGCTTGAGCCCAGGAGTTCAGGGCTGCAGTGAGCTATGATCGTGCCACTACACTCCAGCCTGAGTGACAGTAAGACCCTGTCTCAAAAAATGAAAAAGTACCAAAGAACCCAAACGTGTATTCCTTCACAATTACAGAGGACAGAGGTCTGAAATCAACATGTCTATAGGGCTGTGCCTTCTCGGAAGGCTCTAGAGGAGTGTCCTTCTTGCCCCTCTCAGCTCCGGGGGTGCCCATCTGTCCTTTGGTGTGGCTGCGTGACCCTGATCGCTGCCTCCACCAGCACGTGGCCTCTGCGATTCTGTATCCAGCTTCTCTTCCAATAAGAACAGGGGTCATTCTGGATCTGAGCTTCACTGTGATTCAGATGGCCTCATCTTAACTAATGTCTGCAAAGACCGTCTTCAGATGAGATCCCATGCTAAGATTCTGGGCGATTGTGACCATCGGGGACCCTGTTCAGTGCTGTCATCTGCATTGTTTCATCAGCCACCTCCCTGTTGTAATTCAAGCTCCTCCCGATCGTCCACCTCTCCTCTTCCAGCTGCGGAACTTAGAGTGTCCTTCTGGAAATCCTGAGCTGGGTGCTTCTCCTGAGACCCCCACAGATACCAGCTCTCAGGGGGATGTGGGGAGTAGTTGGTGGGGGCAGGGAGCTCACAGCCACTGAAAGGACACCTGGGGTCACCTGCATCGCAGCCACCCCAGGAGGGACTGGGCTGTCCTGTCCTGTGCTCTTCTCTGACATGGTCTCCCGGCCTGTGACCGTCTGCCTGTGGCATCAACCCCCCCTGTCAGTATGTCTTTCCTCTTCCTCTCTCTGTCTGCCTGCCTAACTTTTTGTATGTTTTTGTTTACTCTGGGGTTTTCAGAAGCGAGAAGGCCTGCTGCATTCCAGCCACATCTCAGAGGAGCTGACCACAACCACGGAGTAAGTAGACTCCGCCCTGCCCTTCCAGCCCTGCAGCCACCTCAGCCAGGGATGCCAGCATGTGGGGGCTGCTTCCCACAAACGCCTCTTAATCTTAGGTTGAGATTTTCATGCAGGACCCCACCCTGGCTTTCCTTTCTCCATGGGCTTCTTTCAAGGTTTTTAACGTTAGAACTGAATCACCTTCCTTATTTTTTTCATTGCATATTTTAGAAGATGAGCTTTAAGAATCTTGCAGGAGAGGTGGGCAGAGAGAATACAAGAGCGTTTAGGGGACTTAGAGAGACCTGTCACCCTGGTTCATTTGTCCCTAGGGCAGGGCTGCGGGGGAGGCGAGTAACCTGGCTAAACTAGAACTTTGCTTTGACGAGCATGACTGAACCGCCTCTTACCTACTAGAGAAGGCCAGAGGGCACGTTAGGAAGTCTGAAAAGCTTCAGATCCGTTGAAAATGGTCAATTGAATAGTCCATGCTGCATGTCGATTTTAGGAGCCCTTATTAAGGATTTTCAAAATTCACTGCATTTGTGCGTCAACTAAACGTGTTTTAAATGAAACAGAACATTCAAAAATTGATTGTCTCAGCTATCTGACCAGTGCAGTTCACAGAGTGATTAGTTACTGTGCTGTGAATTAAAAAACTGGAGCTGACACAGGAACCCCCTCCTGGTGTGCAAGCTGTGAAAACTGTGGACATGCTGGTATGTGGTCTGATGCATGTGGGCTGCTGTGTATGGGTTGATGCGTGTGGGCTGCTGTGTGTGGGCTGATGCGTGTGGGCTGCTGTGTGGGGTCTGCTGTGTGTGGGCTGATGCATGTTCACAGGTGTTCTGAGGGGCTACCCAGTCTGCCTGGAGCCTGTGGCAGGTGGTGGGAAGAGCTGGGACCAGGCGGGATGAGGGAAGCAGCTGTGTGGGGCACAGTGGGCCCTTGGCAACTGCTTGGCCTGTTCAGCAGTAGGAGGAGGACAGCTGGAGAGGAACTGATGTTGGGCTGGTGTCTTAGTTGTCTGTTGTTGTGTAACAAATCACCCCCAAGGCCACACAGCTTAAAACAACATTCATTTCATTTTCTGCTGTAGTTCTCTGGGTCAGCAGTTGGGCTGGGCTCAGCAGGTGGTTCTTAGGCTGGTCTCACCTGGGGTTACTCATGGGATTGCAGACACCTGCAGGCCTGCCAGGGGTTGAGGAGTCTGAGATGGTGCTGGCCTCCCCCACGAGTCTTTCCTGCTCCTGGAGCTGGGCATCTTTAGGGTGCCCTCAGGATTCTGAGAGAGTTTGGTGTAGCCACAGACCCCTGGAGTCCCACGTTGGATGTCCACACCCATGTTCTCACTATTGGGTGTCAAAGCAAAGTTCAAGTTGTCCTGTGTCGGGGTGGGAGCAGACTCCCACCTCCTGAACGGGCAAGGCCCACCACATTGCAGCAGGGTGGGTGTGTTGCCATGGGGAGAAGCCATGGCTTTCTTTGCAGCCCCACCAGGTGAGGAGGCCAGAGGGGGTGAGCAGGAATTTGGGAGCTCTGTAGTCATCCTGGGTAAAACCCAAATGGTCCAGAGATGATCAGAGAAATAGCGAGTGGGTGGGAGAATGTCCTTAATGATTCACCAGCAGGGACCAGCACACAGAGGGGCAGTGAGGGGCCCTGAGAGGTGTGTCAGGCGCAGGTCCCCTCCTCTAAGGCTGTCCATCATGCTAATGAGAAAGGACACATCCATGCAAATGTAAAATCCAGCACAGGGGCAGGTGGACCTGCCACAGGGCCCTCAGGGAATTTTCAGGAGGGGGAAGCCCCACGGTCAGGACTGGGGCGGTTGCAGTGAATACGAGACGGCCCTGTGTGGCAAAGGTGAGAGTTGGGATTGTCTACCTCTGAGTCAGTGTCACTGGGCTGGTCGGGGCTGGGGTCAGGAGAAGAACCTGGCAGTGACCTCCAGGCTGACGCCCAGGTCAGTCCTCTTGGCTCATCCCACCATCCTGGTCTCCCACGTTTGTCCCTTCCTCTCCTTGTGGCCGCAGAGTGTCTGCTGGAGCCTCTAAATCATCGGATGTCTGCTGAAAACCAGGTAGTGGCCTGAAGATCCGCATTCAGTTTCTTAAGGCATCATCACCACCTGTCATCTACTACCAGCATTCCTAGTTCTCTTTCTAGAGCCGCGTTCTCAGCCTATGGGTCATGACCCATAGGAACTATATTAAAGGGTCACAGCATTAGGAAGGTTGAGAACCACTGTTCTAGAGGGAGCTGTGAGGCCACCTCCTCCAGGAAGCCCTCCAGTCTGCCAGGCTTCCTGTTGGTTCCTGTAGTGTTTTAGCACACGGGGTCCACACTGGAATAGAGGCTTTGGGGTCTCTCTGTCTGACCACAGATGTCCTAAGAGTGGGAGCTATGGGTATTAATTTCTGTAGCTCCATGGCCTGCACATAGTAGGTGCTACTTAAATAAGATGGAACCAAAGAACTTGAGCCTAGAGAGATTTGGAGATGAAACAAAGCCCCCCTGGCCTCTCAGGCAGTGCGTGGAGGGACTGTGCACTCAGGCACTGGGATCTTGAAGGACAGATTAGTTGCTGTGTCCCTTGTGCTTTCAGCTGCATGTGCTGGACCTGGGGGCCTGGCCTTGTGGTTCCTTTAGGATCCTTTAGTTAGAGGCCCTGAGAGCCTCTTGTTTACGTGCTGGAACATGGCACTCGGGTCACCTGCAGCATCCTGTTGTGAGGTTTGGTGTTCGGGCTACAGGACGGCCTGTTGTCTGATGGAGTCTTCTCTCTGTTAACCGCTCTCAGATTGTAAGTGCCTCCCATTTAAAGGGCATTAAAGGGGTGGTTAGTGTGCAAACAGAGATGGCGGTTTGCCGTTGATCTTATGCAAACGTTGGTAATCCACACAAGCACCTCTCGTTTGTAATTAGAGCAGGACAGAAAATGGCAGAGTATGACTAGCATTGTTACCAGCAGGCCTTGCTGAGTTCCCGGCTGACTCTGTGTGTTCTCCTTTGCAGGATGATGATGGGACGGTTTGGTGAGTAACCCAGGGTTTGGGTGGGGCATCTCAGGCACATTGGGGCTGCCCCGGGTAGCTCCCTGCAGTCACATTTGCACAGGAATGAGACCTGGGTGGGTCTTACTGTCCCCAGCAGTTCTGGAATCCTAGAGAAAGCTCCTTCTCAGAGCTGCAGGGGCCTGGGTAGTTCCAGGAGGAGTGAGGGGGAGGCTGGGTGGGCAGTAGAGGAGCAGGAGTTGCCTGGAATGTGCCACCTACTTGTGCCATTGGGACAGGAGGGAGAAGAGCTTGGCCTGAACATGGGGCATGAGCAGCCGGGAGACTGCCTTTGTGTGTCTCCTACCTGCCCACCGCCAGTCTAGCAGGCTTCTCAGAGTCAGGCAGCCACGGCTGTGGTGCTGGTGGTTGACCTTCGCCCTGTCCCTTCACCTCTGCTACTCACATGTGAAATGCCACAGTGAAAGGCTCTGCCTTCAGGGCTGCTACAGGGTTGGGTGAGATGGCAAACGTGAGCTCTGCTTAGCCTGGGGCCGGTTGTGGGGTGTTCAGGGCTGCTCCCAAAGAGGGGGCGATTATTCTCTGGGACTCTGTCTTTGTCTCAGCAGTTGGAAGCCCGTAGCTCTCAGCCTGCACCAGGCTCAGTGCTTTGGGAGCATTTCAAAAACAGAAAGCACTCGCCCCCCATACTGTGTTCTCCTGTGAGCAAGGAGGGGGACAGCTGTTAGAAGGAGTAATGGAAACCAGATAGAAGTTTCCTGCCTCCCTCTCAAGCCGCCGGCCCCAGGGTCTTCTTGTGGGGGCAGTGGTGTGTCACCCGCCCTGAGTCCCACCCTGTGAGGATGGGTCAGCTCAGTGTGGGGCTCTGTGACCTCAGGGTTATGAGGGACCCGACTACACACCACAGCTGTTATCTACCAGTGTGGCCCAAGCTCTGTGGGTCTTGAATGGAGAAAATGCAGCCCTTGTGTGTCTGCCTTCCTTAGTAGACCTTAAGCTGTGCTGGGAAAAGCCATAGGCCTTCACTGCATATTTTTTTAAGGAGTAATTCAGCCCTTTTTAATGTCTTTATTATTAAAATACAAATAGAGGGAGAGAAAAGGGAAGCCTCCTGCTCACAGTTGCCCAGGAAGCAATAGTGGCAGGGACTCAGCTTGTGGGGCCAGTGTGGGCACCCCCTTCCCCCAGCATCTATCTAGGTAGGGACTTGGGTTGGGGGCCCCTCCATGCCCTCCTTTCATCCTTTCTGCACAGAGGAGGCTCAGATCCCCTGAGGCATAAAGATGGCAGCAATGTGGGGATCCCAAAGCATTTTCCGTGCTATCTCTGAATTTGTCCCTAGTTGTCACTTCTGGGTTTGGTTCAGGCCTCCTTGGGGTTTAGGGACTCTGAAGAGACTCAGTTCTATTAGCCTGGGGGCATATGAGCCTCAAGAGTGTGCAGTACCCAGCCTGGCGGGGAGTCCCCTATGGACCAGCTCCAGGGACTGGGGGGCCGGGTGGTGCTCCCTTGGGTAAGCCGGAATCACTGTGTGGGGGATGGGCCCAGCTGCCATTTGGGGCGGGGGCAGGGTTCTGTGAAACCAGGAGAGGGCTTTATACTCCGTGCTTATGAAATGCAAACAGGCTATTAGTCAGTGACAGGCAATTAGTTCCGCCCCCGGCCTTGCTGCTTCTGCTGATGCCAGCTCAGAAGTCTCCTGGTTACCCAGCCAGGCACCCTCGGGCACAGCAGGGCTTCTGGCCCACACTGTCACTGGGGAGCCGGTGGGACATCTTATGGCTCTTTGTTTTGTGGCTCCTCCACTTGTCCCTTGTCTCCTCCGGCCTCCTACCCCCACTATCCTGCCAGGGCCTGGCCAAGACACTTCCCCGAGGGGGAGGCTGGTCCCTGGCTCACTCCTCCCAGCTGGTTCCCCTGTTCCATTGTTGGGCTTCCTAAAACTCCCCTTAGTCACATCACTTTCCTGCTCACAGCCCTTGCAGTGACCTTTCAGAACCCTCTGGAGGACACCTCTCCCTGCCTCCTTGCCCTTGTCTCCACCATGTGCAGTCTGAGCCTGGTTGCTCCATTGCTAGTCTGAGAGTGCCCCAGACCACACTCACTTCCAGCACCCTCTGCCTTAAATGCTCTCCCTCTAGATTACTCCATGGCTCACTCCTTGAGCTCTTCAAGCTCTTGGCTCAAACGTCACTTATCCAGGGGGCACTCTGTGACCCTACTGCCCCAAACTAACACCTGTTGGCCTTACTCTGCCCCCTGCCCCCTTGCCTGTTATTTCTGTAATCATTTGACACACTGCAGGGCACTCTGGCTTCCAGGTAGGGCCTGGCTTTCCTCCCCTCCATCAGTGTTTGCACATGAGACCCCATGTGCCTTGCAGATAGAGGTGCCAATGAAATTTTGGGGCCTCCCACGGCCCCTCCCTCTCTCCTTTCAGACAGCTCCTTGACATAGACATGTCCTGTGGACTAGAGCCATCTCTTCCTTGGTGTGAGTCCCCCAAAGCAGCCAGTCCAGAGCTGTGGCCCACCTGCAGTTAATCCCAGGTGCCCTGGGAGCCCTAGAGCACCAGGCAGACCCTCCTTGACCAATGGCTGCTGGGAGCCATGTCCTGGGCCTCAGTTTCACCCGTGAGCGCTGTGAGCCAGGAGGGAGGCCCTGCTGTGCCTACTTCCATGCCGGTGGGAGAAGGGGCTCCTGGTCCCCTGCTGCCTTCTGACAGCGTTACTGTCCGTGGTGGGTGAGGGCGCTTTTCTCTCCCTGGAAACGAGTCTCAGGGGAGCTGGGGAGGTTGCAGCCTGGTCTCCATGGCAACGGGTTTGCTGGTTGCCTCTTCTCTCTGCAGGCGGCCCTGCCCCCTCCCCAGGCTTCACTGGCCCAGAGTCCCTTCCTGAGACCGGGAGGGGAACAAGGAAGGACACACTTTACTCCTCCGTTCCTCACTTCACTGTAATTCCTTGTCTCTCCTGTTCATGGCTCTCCCATCTCTGCCAGTGGAGCTTGTTCTAGAAATTGCAGGTTACTCTCCCCACCCCTGGTTACTGTGCCCTCCGCGACCCCCTCGGTGCAGGAACAGCTGTCATCAGTCCATCAGGGCCAGCAGCTCCTGAGCCCACTCTGGGCTCTTGCACCTGTCTTTGCACTTTCTGTCCCCTCTGCCCCATGTGCCTCCTCCTCTTCTGCACCAGCAAGTACCACCTAAGCTGCAAAGGCAACGGTGGCTGCCCAGGCACACTGGAGAGCCCGTGTCCTCCCTGTGGACGGCTCACTGTGGCCACAGTCTCCGGTACTTCAAGGGAAGCCAGATACCCAGAACTTTTGGACAAACCTTCCAATTTAAAATATGTTGACTCAAACACAAACAGTACATGGACTGATCTGAGCATTCTTGTGGGTTGAACTTGAGCAGACACTGGCATGCTCTGGCTGATTTGGCCTCTCTCTGGGCTTCTCTTTTCCGGCACTTACGGGGTTGTTCCACATGGTCTACCCCCTCCCTGGGCCTCCTCCCCCCGCCCGTGCCCTTCCTGAGAGCAGAGCTGCTCCTTGTTTATCTCTGTGACAGTCCCCAGAGCCTGCAGGTGGGAGGGAGCTCCCTTTGCCACTGCATTGTTAGTTCCTGCACCGTAGTGGGGCAGGGGCTGTCAGGACTCCCACGCTCTGAGAGGAGGTGGGTTTGCCGAGAAGGATTTGCCCAAAGTCAGGAGATTTTAAGTTGAGCAACTGGGATTTGAACCTGGATCTATTTTCCTTCCCAAGTCCATTGTAGGGATGCAGTAAAGTCTTGCCCAGAGCCTGCGGTCAGGACCCCACTACCCCCTTCCTGAACTCCCCATCCTCTCCCAGCTGTGTGGGCGAGTGATGTTGCTCTGGGCCCCCGGGCACAGGTGAGCGCAGCCTCCCTGCATGGCTTGACTCTGCCAGCCCAGCGGTGGCCCAGCTAAATATACCCAGGCTGACGTCAAGCACTCTTCTGCTCCTGGGGTTTTTCTTAAGCTGCATTTGAAGTTTGCGTATTGCTTTGTAAAGATTTAGCTTCTTTTCTGGCCCTTTAGCAGACTGTCTTATTGAGTATAATCTGACTTAGATGACTATAAAAATAATTCACAGCCACTGTGTTAGCAAAGCCGGCATGTGTTAGGAGGGGGCATTCGGGCCAGTGTCCTTATTGGTGATGGAAGCTTCTCTCTCCTGTTCTCAGACATTCACATGTACACATGTGTACACGCATACATGTAGGTACACACACACGTGCACACACGCACATCCCTCCCCTGCTCTCAGACATTCACATGTACACATGTGTACACACATACATGTAGGTACACACAC